AGTTGAGGATGGTTCCTGTTTGAGAGGATGTGCTGTTGGCGTTTGAGCCGCCTGGGTGACCGCTGTGTGGTAGACCTCTCCTTCAGTAGTAGCGCTAGGAGGACTGGCGTCAGTCGGCCTCAAGTAGCCGTTGGAGCCATGGGCATGAGGGAGGCACCTAGTGGGGGCATGGGAGAGGGAGGCTGAGGGCAGCATAGTGTTTGGCAAGGTCGGGATGCAGGGAGCGCACAGAAGTCTCTGGGAACCTGAGGAGAGAATGGCAGATCTGGGAGCTGGTGTTACAGAAAAGTAGTGAGACAGAAAAACGGACCGAAAGAACTTAAAAAGGCACCCGTTCAGGTTTTGTATTAGGTCACTGACTTCAGTGAAAGCCATTTGATGAGAATGGTTTGGGCCGAAGTCGGAGGACACGGAATTGAGTAGGATGCATAAGAGGGAGTCACTGGTGCGGACTCCGCCCGCGCTGAGGGAGAGGAAGTGGAACAGCGGAGGGCTTGTGATGGGGGAGATTGTATTTAACGTCAAAGAAACGGCGAGCAGAGAAGGACTCGTTAAAGATACACAGTGCTTGAAGACACTTAGCACTGCCTCCTCCAAAAAAGATAGAGTGACGTGTGACAGAGAGCACTGTCCATACAGCAGGAAAAGGTAGGCCTGACACAGGGTGAAGCTGCTATGAGGCAGATGCTCTCCTTTCCTTAGACAAAAGGGAGAGAGGCATAAAGTTTATTTCATGTTATACCAACTCGGTTAACCTAGGTTCACTGCTTTATTTCTTCGCTCAGGTAACGTAGAGGATAAGATATTTTAATTCCAGCGACCACTCTCCCTTTGTATATAAAGATTACCTTTTAGTCAGTCAATTTTAATGACATCCATTTGACTACACCGTATGTGGTTTTCCTGCTTGATGTATGCCCTGCCATCAGAATTGGTTGCCAGCTAAAGATGCTTGATCTATTTAGTGTAAGCGTTAAGAATCATGAGTGTTTTAACATTCTGTTTGTTTTGGCAGTCCAAAGCAGCGTACGTGCTCTTCTATCAGAGACAAGACACTTTCAGTGGAACTGGCTTTTTTCCTCTTGACCGAGAAACTAAAGGTGCTTCAGCTGCCACAGGCATCCCACTAGAAAGCGATGAAGATAGCAATGATAATGACAATGATATAGAAAACGAAAACTGTATGCACACTAATTAACGAAAGTCCTAGAAGCCATAAGAGAGAGACTTTCTTGTTGGTGGTGTCCATGAAAATGAAGTTACCCACCACATTAAAACAAAAGTCTGAGATGGAGAGTTTCAGATAACCGAATGTAAATCTTTTATCAGATTTTAACTTGTGCAGTACTTGAAGTGAAACACAATGAAAACTTTAACAGAAATTGTCTCTTAATACATTTACAGTCTTGTATTTACAAGCTAAATATATATAGGAAATCACAAATAAATCCCTTTTAAGTTTGCTGCTGTTTTGATGAATTATGTTTTCTTTAATTTTTTGGATGTGAGTTAATTGATGACAGATGTTAAATTTGTGGACGTTGGTCATTTATTTTGCTCTAATACTCCGGCAAGAAAACCATTGCAGAACTTCTGGATAGCCTAGCTCATGTGCATCAGGCCGCCGTGTGATACTACGATACTTACCTGCAGTGTCAGTGAGGCGCAGGTGCTGCAGTCGTGTTTGTGGAAAACCAGATGTTCAGATCCATCTCTAGTAACCGGTACAGGCCAGTTAAAGACCCAAATTATGATACGTGAAATAATCTTGAAAAAGTAGTTCCTTCTGTAGTATCATTAAAAATCTAGAATACTCTATTCATCTTACTGCCACTATGGAAACAGGTTCTAGATTTCACACTCCATCTAGTCATTTTTCAGTTACGTGTGAGTATTTTTTACTAGCGGGGGGATCTTTCCTTTAGACATTCAGTTTGTTTTGCTTTAACATGCATATCTTTAATGTGGTGTTGGTCCAAAATTAAAATTTTTGCTCCGTTTTTCTCTACCCCATTTCTCTACCCCAATTTGACAACATTTAGCTCTCCTAATTATTGTAATATAAGGACAGACTCAGTATTTTTCTGTACCATAGTGATAACTGCATCAAGCTTAGATGAGAGTTGTTTTCCATATACTAGCCTTTAAATCATTAATCAGCGATTGGCTATAAAGGTAGGTCTGTTAACTTTCTTCGTGTGTTCCTGATGGAATTCACCATAGCCTTACAGCTTTTCTCAGAAGGTAACTTGTTATAAAAGAAATGGCATTTGCATGTTCCAGAGTCAGAACCTGTACAGTATATAAAGCAAACAAACCTTGAAATTAATATTAGTTCACCACATTCAAGGATCCAGGATGCCAAATATATGTGTGAACATTTGAAGCATTTTCATTTGCTGCTTTTTTTTCCCTTTGATCTAGTTGAAAGACTGTATTGTGGATTGGCGTACAATACTGCCTTTAATAGAAAATCTAAACGCTGGGGCACATTTCACATATCGACTACCTGAGAAATTGCTTTGTGTCCCATTGTTACTAAAGCAAAAATCTAATGTTCTTCACTTGAACTAATCAAATACAATAGATTATAAATTGTGTATTGTAAATAAAAGTTCACTCTGTGAGTGCACATTTTGGTAAATTATTTATTTATGTTAGCATTTAAAAGTAAAAAGAGAAAATGCATTTGACCAGGATAAAGGAGGTGTGTTGATCGTGCTTTATGCCTTGATATTAAAGCTGAATTTTCATCCTGGTATTTTAAAAGCTGCTTTGGGTTTTTTCTTTTTTCTTTTCTTTTTTTTTTTTTTTAATGTAAACTAACCTCCTGCATGACAGAGGTTAAAATTTTGTCGCACTTGGGTTCACTTGAGTTTACATTTGAAATGTGCATGTTTATTTATACAGATTTCAATAAAGCTATTCAAGGCCTTATTTAGTCTTTTATTTCTTACTCTGAATCTTTGGGAAAAAATCCCTATTTTGTGGATAGATGGCTATACTATGCTGTTTAATTATAATATAGTTAATACTAAAAAGGGAAGCGTGTCAGAGCAAAGTGAATCCAACTATTAAGGACATGTTTTAAGGTTGATTTTTAACTTAAACATTCATTCATGAAATATTTATGTCTCTACCAAATACCTTATAGAGCTTGGAAATACAGCAATAAGTCTGTCCAACTCAAATACCTTTTTAAATGCAAAAGTAAATTTTAAAAATAGTTCAAAAGGATAATAGTTTAGTTAAAGGTAAATAACATGTAATACAGTAGTATGAATATAATCTTTACTAGTTTGTTTCTTGATCTGTGTAACAATGTTAGCAATAATAGCTAGCAGTTACTGAGCCGTTACCGTGGACCAGGCACTATATTAAAGTGTTTCTATGCATTATTTCATTTAATAGCACAACAGCTGTGCGACAGGAGCAGTCATCGTCCTCACGCTTCATACGGAGGAATCGAGATACAGATCGTTCAAGCAGTAGCCCCAAGCTTACACTGCTCCTCTGTTGTAGAGCCAGGACAGTGCTCTGTACTCAGATGCGTACTACTCTATGTTAGTGTGTGCCTCATAAGGTGTTGAACGTTCAGATGGAGATCGTTTTATGCAGAAGAGTGTTACAAACTGTATGGTATACTCAGTACTGATTTCTTCAGTCTAAGTGATACCCCAAGTTTCAGGACTTGTTTTTTCTTAACTTGTAATTTAGTTTTAATTAATCTCCATATAAAAGCTGCAGCTTGGTGCTTTATTTGAATATTTTGCTTTCTCCTATAATCCGTGCTTTTAGCAGTTCCCTGTGTACCCTTACTTGTCTGACAACTGAATATAAAGCCACACATAAAATATTGCTGTGGACACAAAATTATAAAGTACCAGAATACAGTGTAAGAACAGTACTTTTTCATGAATTAATTTCATGAAGGTAAGGGTACCTTACAAGAAATTAGCCAAGAGATGATAAGAGAAAATAGCACACCAAAGGCAGATGGGGAAGACTTTTCTACCCGAGAAGGAGTTTTATCGCTGACACTGTTTGACACCAGTCGTAATAAGTAAAAGGTTAATTTTTTGTCAGTTTTACTTCTTTTAAGCTCTCTGCAGACTGCATTTCACTGCTGCCTGTTTCCAGTCCTGCTCCTTAGCATACTTTTGATCTCCATGGTGGTGCGGTACAGATGCACGCATCTTCGTCAGTTCATTTATAAAGGTGAAGTGGAGAATCCTTGTGTGTATGACCAGGGAAGGAACCAGGAGTAATCTAACATCTCCTAAGAGCAGCGTGGAAAGGAGAAACCATTTCCAAAGTCAAGAATAGTGGAAATCTTTGTCATGTGTTTTACTTTACAGTGGAATAAAATTTTTAATCTTTGAATAAGTTAATATGAGGAATTTTAAAAGATCTTTTCTTAAAATACATTGATACTCTTGAACAATTCTTTTAAGTGTCATTTGGCCAAAGGATAGAAAGAAAAAAGGTGAGTATATTTGTATACTTACAGATTTTTTGCTTACATCTGCAGTTTTAAATGTGTATTATATATTATTTCATTGTCAGATTTTTGTAGTGAGAAATACAGGTAATGATTTTTATATGCATTCTAGGTTTGAAACATCCTAATTCAATGTCTGTGTGTTTTATGTTTTTAATTTATATTTGCTATATATCAAGTAAAAGAATTTTCTTACAACTCAAATAATAAAATTCTCACTTAAAATGAGCTAAGGGAGAAAACTGAGTTAGCTGTATGGAAATATTTACAAGTTACATGGAATAGGTTTCAAAGTATCAGAATTGGGAAGATTAAGTCCATATTTTCAGTAATGAGGGGGTAGAGCATTTTTAAATGGGCAAAAATCAGTTTTAGAGTGCTGGATGTGTGGTGCACACCTGTAATCCCAGCACTCAGGAGGCTGAGGCAGAAGGATTACTGCGAGTTTGAGGCCAGCCTGGGCTACAAAATGAGTTCAAGGCCAGGCTGAACTGGTGTAGAGAAACCCTGCCTCAAAAAGACCGAGAAGAATTTATGTTTGGTAAATACGTGCATTGGAAGCATTTGCCCTCCATCCTGCCGTGGTCTGGTCGTTCTTCAGCTCTGCCGTGGGAGTCTGGGGCTTGTCAGGGTGGTGAGAAAAAAAGAATACTAGTTTATTAAAGGTATCCAGAGGTGAACAGCATTCAAGGAGGGTAAGAATGGTCATATTTTGGACTGGAGTCTCAAAAAAGCAGAGTGTCAGTCAAATGGGTTTAACTATCTTTTTTTCCCCCTACAAGTATATAGCAAATCTGAGTTGCAAAGCTACTACAAACTCAGGCATTGCTTTAGCAGTTGTTCTTTTAAATGGAAATGCTGTGAAAACAGGACTATCCATTTTCTATATGCACAAGGTCAAATATTGAGTACAAATTTTGCTAATTTTTCCCTCATATCAGGAGCTTGTGCTATATAAAAAAAATTTCATTTACTGTGACCTTCACTAAAGTTTGTTGCTAGGTGTAGTTAAATCCAAATACATAAAACAATAAGTACAAACAGTCTTTCCCATAATGTGTATTTTTGTATTCTTCTTAGTAATGACAAAATTGTTACCATTTCCTAAACTGCTGCTTTAAATCCTAACCACCACGTGTTTTATCATTCTCGGTTAAAATCCTTCAGAATTGCTAAGCTTTGTAATACATCAAATACAAATCTCATAAAAATGCTTTACAGTATTTTCGAAAAGGAATATTCTAGGTAACACACATTCCGGGGTTAGTCCTCTGTTCGCTGATTTGTAGGTTTGCTGAGTGGCAGGTAATTCAGACTCATTAAAGTGTTCTGCTGTGCAGCCTTGCGTGTGTGCCTGCTCTCTTCGGCACTGAATTATTCCTTAAGGAGTGAAAGCGTTTAATTTTCTTTCTAGTGAGTACCGTCTGTTACATCTAGCAGACAATTTTTTAAATTTCTAGAGTTCACCCAAATATGCCCATTTAACTCATTTCCCCAGGAAGCCCAAGACCTCCAAGTCCTCGTTCAGTCCCTGAATTTCCTAATAAAATCACAAAGGGTTATCTTCTTTCTCTGATTGTTTTATGGTAGATTATCAGAGATCTGAGCATTTACTGAGGACTAGTAAATTTAAATTATTTTAGAATTGTTCTCAGAAAAAAGGTGGGGAAATTGTTAATAATATATATAAATATTTTAATTGTTAACATTCCTGAAAGCCTCCTGAAATACGAGTAACCCTGGTGAGGCTTTTAATCAGTTTATAAAACGCATACCCCCTGTCGCACCAGATATCTGTTACATCGTAGATCAAGCGTAGCCGTCGTTGCCCGTGGGTGTTTGGTATCGTCCGTGATGTAAAGGCTTTACAGCAGGTGTTGCTGAACACTGGGAAAAGAGCCGGCTTGTTCCTCTCTGAAAAGCCCTGTAAAAGAGGCAGCTTTTTATTTCATCTTCAGAACCTTTCTCTAGGTATTGTAGTGCCCGAGCAGAGGCTTGCGTGGGTTCTGGGTCCTCTTGTACGGCACGCGCAGACATCTGCGCACACGCGTGCCCGGCCTTGCGCCAGCCGCCGGGAAGTCCAGGTATAGTCCTGCGTATCAGCGTCAAGCTTTGCTCCGGGAGCGTCAAGAAACTGGGCTACTGCTTCCGGCCCAGTGTCCGTGTTAGTGAGGCCTTGAGTAATCCAGTCTTCAAACCAGGAAGGGTCGACCCTCACTTTCCCGTCGCTCTGGCTTTCAAATGCTGGCCTGACGGTTGGCTTTTGCTGCGTTCCGTTCTTCTTAAGAGATACCTGAATCTCAAGCAAAGCGGAAAGAAGCAGGTAGTCAGCGTGTGGCAGCACTCGTTTCCCTGCATTGGGCTTTGCACCCGTGAAATGGTGCCGGTGTCCCGTGAGGACGGCGTGCGTGGCTGTAGAGGCAGAATCGGCTATAAACTCACCTGTTCTACCATTGCTCAGAAAAGGCGTTTTAACACTACTTAGCACGGTTCATACGTTAAGAACCTTTTCCGTCTTGGGGCAGAAGCGGACCCCATCTTGCCCCGACTGGCCTCAGTGATCACTGAAGTCATTTGAGTTAAACATAATACTCCAAGTGCAAGGGGTTATGGTTCTTACACTTGGGGTCCTGCCCCAGGCGGTCGGTCTGCCTGGCAAGACACCGCGGGCTGGCTCGCTCACAGAGCAGCCGCTTCTCGCAGTCGGAACCCTGGAAATCGGGGGTAGGGTGCCGGCACGGCTGGTTTCTGCCGAGGGCCGCTTCCTGGCTGGACATGTGATTGCGTAGTCCTCGCCTGAGGAAGGGAAGAGGGAGCAGGCCGCTGTCCCTTCGTGGAGTGGCACCTCATCTTCGCTGAGGGCCCCACGCTCATGATCTCTTCAAACCTGTGTCTCAGGACCCGTCTGCATCACGGGTCCTGCGATGAGCTGGGATCTGACACCATTCGGTGCGTGAATTTACATCTGGTGACAATTGTGGGATTTCAGGGTCACCTGTATTAAGTAGTTACACATCTTTGGCAACATCACATTTTCTGGCCACTAATCCCTTACTATAGTATATTGTCTGCTCTGCTGCAAGAATAATATATTAAGTATATACCAGGCCCTATTTCTTGGTCTTAAAAGTTTCTCTAGAGAAACAAAAACAGTAAGAAATCTACATAGAGATCAATAAGCAGTTGGCTGACATGATTATGGAAAATGAGAAGTTATGTCTTACCTTTCTCTCGTTGCTGAGACAAAAGTACCTGACACCCAAAATGAAGGAAGGAAAGGTTTACTTAGCTCACAGTTTGTGGAGGTTTCAGTCCATACTCAGCCGCCTCCGAGGCAGAGTGGCACATGGCAGAGGGCGACAGTTCCTGGCGTGGGAGACAGCAAAAGCAGCCAGAGCACAAAGGAGGAGTGAGGGCAGCAAGCAGCCCCGGTCCCTCCCGTATTGCATGCAGACTGCCCGCCCCAGGGCGGTGTAGTGTTCACACCCATAACTCCAGCGCTGGGCCATGAATCAAACTCCGGAAGCCCGCCCCTGGCTGCGTGAGGCTCTGGGGGACACCCAGACACAAACCGTAGCAAGTTCCAAGGTGTGGAATCAGCAAGCTGGAGGCGCAGGGACGCTGATGGATGAGTCCAGTCCCTGTCTAAAAGCCTGGCAACCAGGAGAGCTGATAGCGTGTATTCCAGCCCGGAATCCAGCACGCTTGAGACTCAAAGAGCCAGTAGTTAGTTTTAGTCCAATGCCGGAAAGATCAGGGTCTCGGACGGGACGGGACGGGACGGGACGGGACATCAGGATTCGCACCGTCTGCTTTTCTTGGTCTACTGAAGTGTTAATCTCATCCGAGAATATGTAAAAGTAGTCGTCATTCCCATCCACGTACACATTGGAGTTTCGGACCATAGCCTCCGGCGTTAAACCAAAATTCTGGGCCTCCTACTCTTCTGCAAGCTACTTCACCTCTGACCAACTGCCCTCATTTGTAAGCGAGAGCAGGTCTGGAAGTGCCATCTAAGGAGGCTTGAAGTGAGCCACACTCTGATAATAAGGGAATAATGAAGCTGTTAAAACTGTATTTGCTCAGCAAGCACGTTCTTTTCCTCAGGATGCAGTTTACCAGTGGCGGAGGACTATTCCAGTCAGCTTTCTTTAGCAAGAGAGCAGAGTTAAGAGTAGCAGTTAATCCACACAGGCTACCTGCTAACCTAGGGTTTGAGAGCAAAGATAAGACTTGATCCTCTGCAATTCCTCACCCTACCTCGGTGTCCTGTGGTGTGACAACCTTGGAATACCACGCTTGTGTCGCCTGCTCGCTCGCTTTCCCCTCTCAAACTCCTATATGCTTTCCTCGACCCATCCCAAAGTACCCTTGCTGGGTGTTCTGTTTATCGCTTGGCGCCTTGGGCTGTGTATTATGTGTGTCTCCCCGCTAGGCTGAACCACCCAGTGGGAGGTGGTGTAGGACAAAACAAGTTTCCCTAAGCGCTGTGACTATGAAGAAGTATTTTCCGTGTGTGAATCCGCACAGTATTTGTTGTGATTTTGCTTTATTCCTGACGTGACTGAGTACATAATTTTAAAGTTTTAAAAGTAAGTTTGCCTTATGAATGTGCCTTAAATATAAATACAGGAGTTTTGGGCATAGCTCAGCGGTAGGTACTTGCCTAGCAGCCTCAACACCCCAGGTGTGATTTCTGAGCCCTGCAAGGGTGTGTGTGTGTGTGTGTGTGTGTGTGTGTGTGTGTGTGTGATTTCCATTATAACAGCATTCTAAATTCACTACATTCGTGACTTCTGTAATATTTGAAATTGAATGAAAGTTATTTGTTTCATTTATATTGTGTTAAGAATTTTTTTAATTTTAAAGAAAAACAGGTACAGAATTTTGAAACAAGATGATAGGAAATTAACAATGGGTATTATATTGCATGTTGCCATCCTCAGAGTAATTGCTCAGATTACCAGATAAAGGCGTGTAAGATGGATCAAATATAAACACTAACTGTTCCTTTCAATGAACTAATAGAAATTAGTAATACAATTATCTTAGCTTTTATGTACATATATATATTCCTTCTTTTCTCCTTTCCCCCATCGCAGTTAGTATTTATTTTTTGAGCAGTTTCTTTCCCTTTCACCTTGTCTGTTGTACCCGTTGGGTCTTATTCACTCGTTCAGGTTCTTACACTAGGGAGACAATACGATGTTTACACATGCGGGTCTGATTTATTTCACTTACGAGTGTGGTCTCTAGTTGCATCCATTTACCTATAAGAAACTTTTCTTACAATGGAAACAATATTGCTACTGTCTCTTGCTCCAGTTGGAGAACGTCCTGAATTCCCAGTTGTCCAAAAGTCCCTCATATCTCGCGTTTCTGTCATTTTTGCATAGGATAATAGCCTTCGACTCGATAAGGCCAAGCCTGGATCCCCACCCTCAACTTCAGTGGCTTAGAATAGTTATTCAAAACGCCAGAACTTTATTGCTTTCTTGCTTTTTCACCACAAGGATCTAGATAGAGCTTTGAAAGACTTGTAGATGAGGAAAGAATTTTTTTTTTTAATACAAGTCCTTTCAGACTTGCAAATTCAGAGATCCTGGTTCTCCTCCCTGTCAGATTGAATTACAGCAGATACTGTTAACCACCAGTACTCTACTCCCTTTCTATTAGGAGAGGAAGGTAGCCATCCATGCCCAGGTGACTATGGATGACAACTGACTGAAGTCAGATTTTCAGAAGTAGTCCTGTTCTCTTTAATTTGGGGTTGGGTTTATGTCCTGTTATAAGCCATTGAATCCGGAGAAGTCTGCAGGCGTGCTCAATATTTTTTCATTGCTTTGTAATGAAAATTGGGAAGAAATGTTCTGAGGACAGAGTTCTTTCTACATGTGATTCCTAGGATTCCAAAGCGGCTTCTTGGGACAGGGATGGTAGCATGAAGTTGTGCCATTTTAACTTGATCATGTTCTTCTGTCTTTTTGATTGTGTCTGCTATCCAAAATTATATTCCTTAAAGCTGGGAATACCTCCTTCCATCCCTAAAACCACAAGCTTCCACTCGGGATATTTGAACATCAGAAATAACCAAAACTTTTTCCATATCACCTCCTGAGTCTTAAAATTGAAACCCAGGGCTTTAGAGTTTTGTTTTGTTTTGTTTTGTTTTGTATTTTGTTTTGAGTAAGATCTCACTAAGTTGTTCCGGCTATCCTCAAACTTGAACTTGCAATATTCCTGCAGCATCCTCCTTAATGGGGAGACTGCCTTTTAAAAAATAATTATTCTGATACAAAATAGCATCATCCACAATTAGGACTATAAAGAAACAGGAAATGGTGGTCCATGGTCAACAGAAACAGCTCCAGAAATAATTCACATGTTAGAACTGGCAAATCAGGACTTTAAATAGGAATGTTTTAAAGGAGCTATAGGAACAGATATATAAAAGAAGAAATACAGAATTTTAGAAAGATATAAAAACTAAAACTAGAAACTATCTGAAGTAAATAATGTATTATAGGGTGAGATTAAGGGCAGAACAAAAGAACATCTAAAAATCAAGGACAGATTTCTTCTTTATCAGCAGCCTCAAAAACATGTCAGAAAGAACTAACTAAATAGAGTAGAGGAAGGAGCAAGAAAAAATATTTGAAGAAATCTGGCTGGAATTTTTTCCCAATTTGATTTTTAAAATCTGGTCCAGAAAGCTAGCATGCCCTAAGTAAGATAAACAAAAAGAAAACCACATGTGGTTACCAAAAAATCACATTTGCACAATAAAGAAGCAATCTTAAAAGCAGGCATTGAGGGGGTCACTGTACAAGCGAAGCATGTGACAGCTGATACTGCACTGGAAATAATGTCAGAAAAAAAAAAATAATGCATTGTGAGGTGCTAAGAGAGGAGGGGAGGGCAGGTGTGGGGGCCTCCTTGTAACCCCAGCAGGAGACTCGCTGCAAATCCCAGGCCGGGCTGAACTGCTTGGCAAATCCCCAGCTCAAAAAGACAAAAAAATAAAAGGGGTAGGAGGATTGGCAAGATTGTATACGCAGAAGAGTATCTTTGAAAATTTAAGGCAAACTACAGATTTTCATACACACAAGAACAGAAACTGTCCGCGCTATAGAACTTTCCAAGTGGAAATTCAGATCTGTAGGAAAGGAGGAGAGTTCTGGGAACAGTGAAAATGTGGGTAAATACAAAAACCATTTTTCTTTCTGTACAGCAACTGATCGTTCAAAACAAAATCAGTGCTAGTGTGGAAATGCGGGGTTTGTAACGTAGACAAAGGGATGTAAGTGGAATGATACTGTTACAAAGTTCTTATGTGTGAATAGTTCAATACAAAAGATTATGACATGGTAAGAATGTATGTTACAAGCCACAGAACAAGCACAAAAATATATGTCTGAAAGCCAGTAAAGAAGACAATAAATAATATTCCTTCCCCCTAAAAATGGACAAAGAACAAAAAAAAAAAAATAGAAAATGGGAATATGGTAGATTTAAACCTACCCATTACAATCATAAAGCCAGAGATTGGAAGCCAGGACAAAAAATATTACTCAACTAGATGCTCTATCCGAAAGACACATATCAAATATAAAGGCCAGACTAGTTAAAAAGTTGGTTTTTTAAGGGAGAAATGGATTCATCATGAAAACGCCAGGCATAAAAGATTTAGTGTGCCCAGGCCAGGGATATAGCTCAGTGGCATAAGCATCTGCCTGGCAAGTGCAAGGTCCTGAGTTCGATTCCCAATATCAAAAAGATTTAGTGTGACCATGTTAATATCACATACAAATGAATATAGAATAATGACTAAGCCCAAATGTTGAGCAACAAATTTTCATAATCACAAAAGATGGGTATCTCACAGAATATACTGTCTTACCACCAAGTGATCAAGTTCTAAGTAGAAAATTAGTAGGGGGTCAAATAAAAAAATCACAAAAGGATCTGGGAATATATTAACCAATTAATCAAAATCTCAATTTTTTAAATTTTTAATGTAATGCAAGTAGATATTAATAAAATATTTAAAAATTGTATGAAAAAATAAAATTTCTTTAAATAGAAAATAATAATATTGTGTATCATAGTCTTCGATGAATGGCCAAAACATAAAAGTATGTCATAGACAAAAAAGACTCTTGTAAAGAAGAAACAAATACATAAAACAAGAACATAACTTTTCAGTGAGCAAAAAGAAACTAGTAAGTGAAACCAACTAGCATACATTAAAATATTTTTG